TCATTTATAGTCATATTGGAAAAACACTCATACTTACTCTTACTTCTGGCACATTAAGAAATGAAGTACCACTTGGTTCTGTTTCTTTTTGATGCCTCACTGGGCTGTCGGGTTGTACCAAGGTCCATTTTGATTCTGCAAATGCAGTTGACCACCCACAACTTATTTTCTGTAAACGACTGACTGTAAGCATCTGATATTATTCGGTATGCTGAATACTGCACTCTCCCTCCAATTAGACTTTTTATCTGATATATTCAAAGGCTCCTTGACACACAGGGCAACTAGTAGATTGGCCACTGACCCTGACACCCCCCCCCCCCGCCCCCGCACTTCAGGGCACCCCCACTCACCCACCCCCCACTTCTTATTGTGCCAGTCTGCTTCAGCTGAGTGGTGACTCGGAAAAAGCACACTTTGTTCCACTGAAGGTGACACAGCGCGCCTGTCTGTCACCTTTATCTGAATTCCAAGTCACTCTTGTGTAACAGCAGAATCCCTCTTTGCATTTGCATATGCAGCAGCTTTGTTCCTTGATTCTCAACAGGTTCCTTAACTGCTGTGCCATCTACTGGACAGATGCATTTCTCAGAAATTCTTCCATGAGACTTAATTACCTACTCTTTCAGCTTTTATTATTGCTTTATGCATAGCTGGCTTCTTTTTGAGGTGAGAGGGAAGTTAAAATGAATTACATTTACTTTGAGAATTTTTCTAGAATAATCTTTAGCTGCCAGTGGCTTATTTTTCAACCATTTGGGACTGGAAGCTCCCGCAAGCAGATGTCTCCGAGGCTATTTTCAATCGTCTTTCACTTTTGCTTTCAGACTCAGCACTTTTAGACAAGGTTTTTCCTTCTATACAGTATACAGCATCTCCCACGTTCGTTAATTGGCGACAGTGAAAAAGTCTGCTAATTGAAACTAATTAATAATAATTCAATTGGCCTCAGAGTCATTGGTACATATTTTGATTTTTTTTTTGGGTGGGTTAAATAATTGACTTTAGTTATCTGACATTAACAAACTGTATTTGCTCGACAGTTGCCGCTTAACTCACTTAATGTTTTTTTTCCTACAGTTGGTCACTGACTGATGTCCAGGCTGTGGATGTCAGGCTCTCTACTCTGGGCCTCGGCTCAGTGTGTTGAAGAGCAGCCCATAGCCTGTCGTATGTAATCTGTTTCTTGAATGTGTTTCTCTGAAAAAAGTTTCTCTCTCCCCCCCACACCCCCCAGAAATGTCAGCGCTGCTCCAGAGTGACGGTCTGAAGACCAGCGGGAAGAGGTGCGAGTGATTGGTCTCCATGGCGATGACTGTTGTTCTTCCCCAGATGATGCAACCTAAACTTCACGACTGTGTGAAATTTCTCAGGGTCTGTTTCGACTCTTGGTGGAATCCCCCTACGGGGGGTGTGTGTGTTTGGGGGATGTGATGCATTTTTGGTGAGTGACTCGCCAACTAAAAAAAATGTTTTGTTTTTTTAAATGCTTTAAAAGTACAGTTTTGTGTATAATTGATGAACACTGCACCCTGGGGCGGCCAGTCTGCTCCCAGTCAGCCCAGTGCCGCTTCCTAGAGCATCTCCCAAGGCTGTCCTCGTCCTCCTCTCCGGCCCGGTGGCTGTTTGGCTGGTCTGGTCCAGGTTATTTTCAAGGTTCTGCAGGCGAATGGCCAGTGTGCTTGGATACAAACTCGGAACATCATCATCATCCAGATGCGCCAATTGGCTGGACTTGTGGACGTGCCTTGAATGCGAAACTGGAACTATTTGGCTTTTTTTTTTTTTTTATTATTCCACCCCCCCCATCCCCACATTGAAACCATGTGACCTCAGGAAATGTGTTCTCTCTCACATGCATATGCACTAGATCCTTACTCAGAGTTATGAGAGCAGTTAGGGACTTTGTTTCTGTATAGTCCGTGCATGTGCATGCAACATGATTTCAAATGTCCTGAGTGTCACAGTAAGGCCGCCTCTCTCCATCTCTCCCATCTTTCTTGTCGTAACAATCATTCTCTTTTCGGCTCAGTCTTTGTAATCTCCACACGTGCCTTGATTTCTTCAGGCTCTCTTTTCATTATGTAAACTATAGTCCTCGTTGATCAGTTCCAGATGGGGTCCCGTCACAAAGAACTCTCCAGAATTAAAATCCAGGCTGAATTCTGGGAAGTTTTATTCTTCTGTATTGTGGTGTAACACAAATGCTACTGGATAAGGGAATTGGCTGGGAGAAGATGCCTCTTGCTTTAAGGTAAAATGCATATTTAGGATTAGAAGATAGGATACAGGTTTGTATTGGACTGGTTCCTGTGGGAAGTGTTTACATATTTTGAGTGTGTTTTAGACCAAATCCTATTTAATCCCCCCTGGTCCCTACCTAGGTGTGTTTGCATGTGCTTGAACAACATGGTTTTATAATTCATTGAAAATTTGTACGTATTGTATGTTTCTTACATTTTTTCCCCAAAATAAACTCTTCACCTGGAGAAAGTTTAATGCTGTCTGGTCTGCTGTGATGAGGCACCTCCATAATGCACCTGTACGACTTTCATGCGCTTCGAGGTGACTTCTTCATGGTGACTTCTTCATGGTGACTTCTTCATGGTGACTTCTTCATGGCCCAGCTTTCCTAACCTTAGGAGCTTTGAAACTGTGAATTTTAAATGAAATCTGAATGTACTGAGCGTGAATCCTGCCTGTGCACAATGGGCTCTGTGGTTGGGGGGGGGGCATTCCCTCGATTTGTATGCTAAACCTGAGCCTCTTCACTATGTTCTCTAGGTTGTGCAAAAGGTGATAAAAGCGTGAGCTGTGAGCTGATGGTGAGATGGGACGCTTACAGTCATCTTCTGGATGCTCTATAGTGAAACGCACAGTGGTGCATCCAGTAAATCCGCCCCTAAAGTAGTGAGGAAGGGAACTTGTCTCTTGCATATTAATTTGCGACAGTTTGGATGATTATGGTTAGTTTTATTCATGTTTTGGGGTAATTGGGATCTCGGCTGGCATTGATAATGCATTAGTTATTGAAGTCCAGTGGTGAATGTGCTGTTTTGTTGGATTTCTCTCTGTAAACTGCAGTAGGCCAGCATTATATAGTCCCTGTGTTTAAAATCCGCTGTGTGATATGCAATCATTTGAGTGCATTTTGATGTTAAACCAAAGAAGTGATGCAGTGTGTTAGTGAGGCTCAGGTTGCCGTGTGTATGTGTATGTGTATATATATATATATATATATATATATATATATATATATATATATATAT